AGTAGAGGTGAGTCAGAGGAAGTCTCTGATGAAGCAGGAGAGGGAGACTGGTTGCAGCCCCTTCAGTCTGAAGTCTCACAAAGGTTAGCCAATTTCAAACATTTCTAAAATTCTGTTTTTACTTTGTCATTATGGGGGTAATGAGTGTAGATTTAAGGAAAAAAAATGAATTTAAACAACTGTAGTATCAGGTTGCAACATAACAAAATTGAAAAATGTGAATGGGTTCTGACTACTGTATAAATACACTGTATATAACCCTTGTGTTCTGTACTGTATGATTAAGATATACTGTTTTTTTTATTGCTGCTGACATTCTCCAGCCTATTAGTAGCCACTTCCTGGCATGCATGAATATTAGCATAATCACTTACAGGACAGGAAAGTTTTCACTTTATGACAGAAAATGCCTGAGCAAGCTACTTTCACAGGGGAAATTTAACCGCTCCCCCCATGGAAACAGAATTTCCTCATGGCAGTGATCTCTTTCAGCAAGATAATGCGCCCTGCCACACTGCAAAAATGGGTCAAGCATGGTTTTAGGAACACAGTGATGAGTTTGGAGGGTTAACATGGCCTTCAAATCTCAATTCAACGGGTCTGATCTCAATCTGTGGGATGTGCGGGAAAAATAAGTCTGATCCATGGTGGCCATGCCTTGCAACTTACAGGACTTAAAGGATCTGCAACTGACAGATTGGTGCCAGATACCAGAGCATGCCTTCAAAGGTCTAATGGCATCCAAGCCTTGACTGGTCAGAGCAGTTTTGGTGGCAAAAGAGGGACCTACTCAATATTAGGTTGGCGAGTCACACAATTATGGCTGATCAGTGCAAGTCAGGAAAACGTACACAAAAATGAATTTCATTACAAACAAAAATGTATAATAAATACCAAACTGCCCTAAAATTTTGCACGCCCTCAAAACTATGGTACCAAAAATTCTCCACAGGCAACACTTTAAAAGCATTTATAGGTCATCAGTTTAGAGTTCAGCATGAATAATGGCTCTGTATTTATTACTCTCACTCCAATGTTCACGGTGACACCTCACATGTTTGGTGCAATGTATTTTTGCGTACCCATGCATACAAAACATATATTGGAGTATGTAAGGGGACTAGGTGGAACTTTTAAATGGAAAAATGTATTTTTATTATAGTTTTTTTTTTTCTTCATTCAACTTTATTGTAATCACAAGGGATCTAACATGCCCCCTATGTACAGAGTTGGGCAATGTGACAGGCCCTCTATGATAGACCCTTAATGTTGCCTCTATCCTCCACTGCAGCTAACCAAGCACAGATCATGGGGGGTTTCTGGGCTCACAGTCAGAGGCCCAAAAAAGTGATGGAAAGGCTCTGGAGCTGCCTGGATCAATTTTACCTGAAAGCCTATTGTCAGCTCTAAAAATGCACACCAAACAGCAGCAGCGAGCTTGTGGTAATCCCTAAAATAGAGCGGGACAAAACTTTAGATGCAATGGGTATACTTACTATTTTCCCATAGTACACCATCACAACTATTGATATTTTTTATTGAATAAAAGATTGAAAAGGCAAATTGTTCTAGTGTTCCTATTCAAGTATATCACCTTAATCTGTAGGCACCGTGAAGAAAGATTTGTTTGCCTCTTCGATATGAAAAAGTTCACAATTTTCATGGGTTATACTTAATTTTTACATGAACGTATAAGTAGCATATATGTTATGTGTGTTACTGAGCACATTGTGCTCTGATCAAGCCACTTCAATTCGCTAGATCACAGTAGCCACCATGTTGACATAAAACAAGGAAATCTCCCATATGTGCATATCAAGGCAGTAAATAAATGAATGTCAGTGCCATGTTAGAAGCAGAATCAGCCATGCAGCCTAGAATTCTCTTCTAAGGCTTATCACAATCTTAATAAGCGGTATTGGAAAGTTTGTGTGTGCTCTTTGCATGTTCTCTATGTGCTGTGTACCAATTACTTGTAGGCATGTTCTCAGATTGTTGGTGCAGTGTCTATTTACGTATTCTCTTTGTGTCTGCCCACTTTACTTGGCGTATACTGTAAGTTGGAATAGCCTCAGCCTTCATTTAGTGGGCGTACAATTGCACTAGAATCTATGTACTCCATGGAGAGCACAAGATGGCAAAGGGTAAAGATGCAGACACAAAAGTGGAGGAGAAAGAGAATGTGACGCTATAAAAGGAAAAAAGTAATTAGTGCAAAAAGAGAAAAGTGTTGCATGAACCAGGAGGGTGTAAAGCTGAATGTGTACAGGAAGCAGGAGATAGCCTTATGAAAAACACAGCTGGAAGGAGGAAATTAACCCGGAGAAGAAAAGCAACCAATGAGTTGGAGTATGCACATTGAGAATGCAAAATGGTTTCAATAATCCACCAGTGTTTTTGACACGAAACAGGAAGGCTTTTTCTCATAATATATAAGATATGCACTTTTATTATTACGTGCATTTAGTTTCAAAATAAAACTTATTTAAACCAAAAGACAAAAAAAATCAAACTACTGCAGATCACCGCACCCTAGATGAGGTGCCTGCATTTAGTTTTTTTTTTTTTCAGGCTTTTCCCTTTATGTTTGCCTGGTAATTCTGCATAATAGATGCTTTTTCCAAGGGTGGCTACTTTCACTCCTCTACTGTATCTAAAGAGCCTGGTTGTCAACTAGGCTGAACTTTATTCATTTCTATTACATAGGAGTTAACAGGATTAGTAATAAACACAAAAAAAGAAAAAATAGTTTTCTGTGTGCAGGTCAGCTCAAAGAACCTGACAATGATGCAGCATTTCTTGAAGAATCAACAAGCATTTTCTGTACTTGCAGATGTTTTCAACCTGAAAAAAGGAAACTAGCAAAGCCTCCATATTGGGACTAGTAAACTGCAAAGTTTCCATACATTAAATTTTTTTTTTCTTGGGTTTAGTTATCTTTGAAAGGCCTACACACATTTGATGGGTTCTGGGCAGGCATTATGGAGGTAAACTGACAGTCTCGTAACTCTTGAGAAACAGGGAAAACTGCCTGCTCTCACAAATCAGTCTTAACAAAGGCATAAGTTAGACAGACTCAATTCCCCCTGATGAAGCCACGTGACCGGTGGAGTAACACGTAGGGGAGGGGCTCTGACGTCACCACGCCCAGTCGGCTTCTATACGGCGAGTACAGCTAGTGTGCGGTGCACACAAGGAGATATGCATTAAGGCTTGTTTTAATTATTAAAATGTGAGTGCAATACAATGGCTATGTAATAAAGTGTTTTATAAGGGTAAAGCACTATCTTTTGTTCTTTTTTTTGGCATTATATGTGTGGAGACTTCTGGAGTTGATCTAGGAGGATTATTCCCCTTGGAGACTTCTGAAGTGGATCTAGGAGGATTATTCCCCTTGGAGGTGAGAAGGAGGAGGAAATATCTATCCATCCATACATCCACAGATCTGCATAGGATAGTAATGAGAGGAGAGACACCAGGTGGATAATCAGGAAATCACGCTGTGAATTCAAAGAAGGTGGTGAACATCAGTGCACATTTTATCCTTTTAGGATAAACAGCTTGTTTTAGCCTGTATTTTTGAGCTAAAAATGGAGGTGAGCGCATAATTGAGCTTCATATATACCGCAATCATCTATATGTTGGAGCGAATTCATCTATTTGTACCCATCTCCCAGAAAAGGAGGATTTCACTTTATTATTGATATTGGACATATAATAATGTTATTACACTAATATTTCTCTATACCCAAAAGGGATCATTCAAGTAATTTTGTGTACTGTTTGGATAATATATTGTAAGGACTTACACTGTTTTTATAGTTTATTTACATCAATATAGGAGCGCAGCACAGTTATTTGTTTTTATATAGATTCTGACACTATTTATGAGTTGGTGTGATGTGTTTGCGAACCTATTTGTGCATTTATAATAAGGTGATTTAATTTTTATTATTTTTGATTCAAGACACATTTATTAATTTTTTTTATTTATATATACTTTTTTGTATTTCACCTATTTATAGAAATTCACCATATTAGCTCACGAGTAATAATTAGCATTTGATTGATATAAGTTGGACAGACTCTTGCAAACAATGGTGCCTCTGCCACAGCTAGAATATCCATTTATTTCTATAGAGAACCAGGCAAGCTGGCGTGACATCTCTTTATGGCATAAAAACTAAACAAAATGAGTCATCATTTATTTAGATTTCAGCTGTATCCTCTTTAGTGCCACTGTAAAAAAAAAAAAAAAAAAAAGCGAAGACTTCTTGGTTGCTCTGGGCAACACATTTTTCTCACTAAGGCTTCAATGATCAAGTCCCAATGGGATGCAATATGGCAGGTTTTGGCAGAACATACAATGAAATGACAGACCAAGATAACTGTCACACCTATGAATTAATGTTAGAAAGAACAAACATGCAGTGGCTGGGTGTGACAAGAAGTAACAGTTTCAATGAGGGCTGTCACACATGTCATTTCTCATACTGTCAAACATAGTTTTTTAAACCCTATGAGGAATCTTTTTTTAAAACCCACGGGGAGCATGTTTAGAAGATGCACAAACTGAACTTGGATAGTTTTAAGTCTTTACTTGAAATTTGCAGTTCTATTCATTTACCATAAAGTAAAAAGTAGACAGGTTTGCATGAAATGTTTACTTTAGGAAACGAAGGAAAACATATGCAAATGACAGGAATGTCCCTAGTTTTTTTTTTTAAAAAAAAAACAACTTTATTTTAATATCCTCCTGTGTGTCTCTTCTTGCTTACGTTAATCACAAATGTAATTTTTATAACCCTTGTATCTACAAGTGCTGTAGAAAACGGAAATTGAATCACTGACAACAAAAAACTGGATGTACTTAATTATTTGGAGGGCATTTAGCAATTTCAACTGAACGTTGGCCATAATTTATAACACCAGAATTTGGATACTCAAATTTGGAGCTATACAAGCATTACTGGAAGCACGAATAAAGAAAACACATATACCTGGAGGAGGGAGATCCAGCTTTGATCTTTTCAGCTCCCCCATTGAAAGCTGGAGTTGTTCAATAACATAGTCATCCTCATATCCAAAATTCTTGGCTAGCTTCTCCTGCAGGAACTCTAATTAGATCTTCCATAGTCAGCTTCATTAGGTATTCTAAACAAAAATGCAATATGGTTAACATGCTATATACATTTAATAACAAAAATGCAGGTAAAGAGTAGGAGAGAAAATTACTTTATCACATAACAAGCTCCAAAAGCTATAAAAGCTTCATTATGTATTTTGGGTTATTACCATTTAATTATTTATGAATAATTAAACCAGAAATAACAATAAGGTGAAAAACACCATGCTAAATTATAAAACTTCATTAAATACGTATGACTCAGTGGAAAGCATATAAATGCTAGTGCCTATAGAGAATACACTGTGAATGCATCCAAGTAGAGGCTGGTGAAGCTGTTTAGTAAAATACTTTGTCAAGCAGCAGATCCGAAATGAAAGTCATAATAAACCCACAATGACAAGGAGTGCTTACAGAACCATTAATATACCATATAAATAAAAGCTGTGTAAAACATGAGCACAGCACTTTAATCTTAGAACTGCACAGATATGGGATAATAAAATTAAATACATATAATCTCAGACAAAAGTGCATCCATATTGCCCTTATTAATTTTAGCACTTAGGGGCTTGAGGGCTTTTTCTCATGCCTGACCTTAGACGTTTTCACTTGTGTTCAGTGAACAAAACGGAAGAAAAGAATATCCCTGTAGTCTGTGTTGGCACCAAATTGAACATCATTCGGTTACTGTGTTTACTGCAATGTTGTAATCAAGTTGTGTCAGGTTATGTGAAGCTGTAGCCATTGTGCTACAGGGAAAATGTGAGTTGTAGCTTGTGCAACATTTCCAGCGTTGGAGGGTTAGGTAGGTGTGCTTTACTATAAAATGAGTCACTGTTTATAAAGCCCCGCCACACTTCTAAAATCATCCAGCAAACCAAACTGTTAACTATACAAGGCTGTGCAAAGGATAACATGTTAATGAATGCATCCAGTTTCAGTGACTAGTGTTACTATAGCTACACGGTAGCTATATGTAAAAGAAAGAATAAACTAGGGACATCATTTCTCACTTGCAGTTTCAGAGAAGAGAGGGAAATAGGTGTTAGGATGAAAAAATAAACAAACCTTTAAAGCTGCAGCATAAGCACTTAGAAAGTAATGGGATGGTTACATTGTCTCTATGAATGATCACCACAGCAGGCGGTCAGGCTAGGAGCTGCTATTAATGCCTATTAAACAGCACATGGATTTAAGCCTCTCTCTCTCAGGCAGCACTTTGTGGTGGAGCATGCACAACATGGAGGTGGAACAAAAAAGACTGGGTTTGATCTGAAGTCCAGCAAGGTGTACCCAAGTATGTCTTTGGCCCAGAAGTGGTAGTAAAAAAAAAAAAAAAAAAAAACTGCCACAAAACGTGGACAAATCAATTGGTATTTTTATAATTATTGCCTCACACCCGCTCAAATGTATATAAATGAATAAGTAAAAATTAATAAATAAAAAGGAGAATTAAAAAAAAGATATTTAAATCTATACAATACTGGAACGCCGGTTTGCGTTCCAGTAAGTAGAAGTGATGTGTCCTGGAGATCCTGTCCTACACGTTTTATCAGCAAACATCTGACTACTGGGACACGTCATTCCTGCTTACTGGAGCACAGGTTGAACACAAAACAGCCTTCCTGTATTGTGTTTACATGCCTATGCAGTTTTAATACTTGTAGTAAAGCATTGAAAATACACTATGAGATGCTCTTTTATATCTCTTCCTATATGTGCTGGATACACTACTGAGTCCTTTTAAAAGGCGCAAAAGCACAGTTTAATAGCTTAGTCCAAGCATTTATCCATCTGTACAGGAGCAGATTGGAGACCCATTGGAGAACCACAGCCACTTGTAGAGATGACCAGTTGATACTGGACAAGTCATCTTTGACTTCCTTTTATCCACTTGCCTAAGGGGCACTTATACCCCCTTCTTTACCCGACCAATTTTAGCTTTCAGCGCTGTCGCACTTTGATTGACAATTGCGCGGACTGTACCCATATGAAATTTTTATAATTTTTTCTCACAAATAGAGCTTTCTTTTGGTGGTATTTAATCGCCGCTGGGCGCTTTACTTTTTGCGCTATAAACAAAAAAAGTGCAAAAAATTTTGGAAAAAAAAATTTTTTCTTTGTTTCTATTATAAAATTTTTCAAACAGGTAATTTTTCTCCTTCACTGATGTGCGTTGATGAGGCGGCACTGATAGGCAGCACTAATGAGGTGCCACGGATAGGCGGCACTGATGATGGGTACTGATAGCCAGCACTTATAGGTGGCACTTACTGGCATCACTGCTGGGCACTGACTGGGGCACTGCTAGGCACTGGCACAACCGCTGGGCACCGACTGGCAGCACTGCATTGATGGGCACTGGTGGGTGGCACTGGTGGGCACAGGTGGGTGGCACCGCTGGGCAGTGGTGGGCGGCACCGCTGGGCAGTGGTGGGCGGCACCGCTGGGCACTGGTGGCCGGAACTGGTGGGTGGCACTGCTGGGCACCGATCAACAGTGCTCTGATGATCGGTGCCGATTCCTGCTCTGACAACTGCCGGTTCTCGGCAGTACTTTCCTCGTGCTCTGACAGCATGAGGAAAGTGCAGCCGAGAACCAGCAATTGCATTTCCCGGTGACCAGTGTGTCATTGGACACGGCTGATCACGTGGTAAAAGGCCGCTGTGATTGCCTTTTACCACATCATGTGATCAGCTGTGTCTGTAGGAGATCGCAGGAGAACGAGTTCTGGGAGGACATCATATGACGCCCTCCCAGAACTAGCAGGCCGCAGTGTAGCCGTCATTCGGCTATCAGCGGTTGGCAAGCAGTTAATTAACCTCCTTGGCGGTATTCCCGAGTGTAGCTCGGGGTAACATTTCAGTACCAAAAGCGGTAACCCCGAGCTACACTCGGGAATACCATGCGGCACTGCTCCGGCATGTGTTCTTCACTTACCTTACCCTGCGCTCCCACGATGTGTCCCCTGCAGCGTCCCCGGCCATCTCCTCCAGCCGATGCCGGCATCCGGCTTCTGTGTCCTGTCCCTGTGACGCCGGGACGTGCCGGCGGCGGCGGGAAATTTAAAAATTTTAAAAAATGTCTTTTTTTTTTTTTTTTCATTTTACACAGTAAAACATTGCTGTTTCAACCTATTTCACATACATATTGTCCCTAGTGCTTTGTCCTGTGCCCTGCCTGCATTTTGTCTGTTCTTTCTGCCTGGAAACTGAGAAATGTCCATGGCGTCCAAAAAGTGTCCCTTTAGGTCAAAAGCGGTTTAGATCAGCTAGAGAACAGCAATAGTAAATCAGAACCACTTACAGAATTGAGTGATAATGATTCGTGGGGGAAATTCGTCATCAGAAACTGAAAACGATTTTGCGACTGAGCTCAGCAATGTGCGAACTTGGCGCTCTATTTCACATTTCAGTGTTTTTGGTTTGATTATATTATTGAATTAATTTTTTATTATTTTTATATTATTTTTATGATTATTTATTAAATTATAATTTATGATTTTGTGTTTCAAATTTTATCATACCCGGGATGTTTACTAGACTCTTGTTCAGGACAGATTTCAGTGAGTTTTTCCTAAAAATTACAGCCTACAATAAAAAAAATACATATTTCCATGCAAAAAAAATGGTACCCCCGCTTTCAGCACCAAAAATCTGAAATAATCATACCGCCAGGGAGGTTAAGGGAGTCAATATCCTCTGGTGAGTGGGGTGTGTTTCTTTGTGGTGGAGAGGATAAGCATCGTCTTTGGTGGCACAGATCTATCACCTTTTATGTGGATTAAGTATGCACTGTTCATGGTTTGGACTTTACTATGTTCAATATGGACAATTTATCTGTGGATTTTTGCTTACACCTCTTGATTTTGATATATTTGTTCACACAAATGTTTGATAGAAAAATGTAAAGGTTAGCCCCCCGTGGACTGAAGCACAAATGTGTAAAAGGTTACTAGATCCAGAGATATGGACTGCCTAAATTGTATAGAAATCGGAAACTTTAACAGGTTTTGGACCCTCCTGAGGCTCTTTACAGTGATCACAGTCTGTATTTTAAGTACTATATGTGTAAATGTTTCAGGATCTACTATTCATTTTGACTTTTAAAATACCTGCCTAAGCATTTTTAATCACACACTTAGTCTGTATTGCCAGGTTTGTACCAGGCTTACATTACACAGAAGAGGGCTGAGGCATGTAACACTACCCAGAACTTCCTAAACTGTATACTGAGGTTTATAGGTAATCTCTAAACATCCAGAAACAGGAGGAGTACTATAAACTGGGTTACTTTCCCATTCTGACAGATCTGTATAATTGAAGCATAATGGCAATATCAAACATTTCAAATGCCACCTGCACTCCTCTAGAGACTTCTAATTTAACTGTGACAAAAACTGAACAAGGCCTTAATTTTAGTTATTTATCGTCCATTCTTTCAATATTGTAAATAATTTAAAAGTTATTTAAAAAGGCAGATTAAAAACTGTTCATGCATAGGAAAGTGACCACAGAGTTCTTGTCCTATGAATATGCCAGATACGAATAATACCCTTCTGAGCTGGTGTCTGGTGTGAATGCTGTTTTATTGATCAAATAAAGGTGATATGTCTGTTAAATATTGCATGGATGAAAGTACATCCATAACACTCCATAAAAAGTGTAAAAAACTGGAAGCTCTGCTTAAGCATGTAATAAAAAAAAACCTTGCATATTTCATCAAACACAAGAGTATCTTTGAGATAATTATGGGTAATTTAGCGTGAGCTCTTTTAACCATTTATAAAGAATCTGAATAATGCAGGTGGTTTTTAGCCGTGATTTAATCCACAGAGAACAACTGAACTGTTCAAAGTGAATAGAAAAGACCTATTTTTTAGGAAAAAGAAAAACTTGAATTTGATCAAAATGGCTTAATCATGCAGGGCTGTACTTGTATATAAGTTTAGTTTGCAAGCGTTCCATGTTAAGTCCTTCTCTCACAACTGTGCTCTGATAGAGAATATACATTCCATGCAACACAC